TTACAGGCCCAGCTAGTGCAAGAAGTTCCATTTTGGTGACTTGATGGGCCTGAGAGAAAAGACCTCCAAATGCACTTGGTGTGTCTCTGCTGGTCAACAAAAAAGTCTAGATCTCAACCATCCGTGCTAAATGAAGCCTCCCAGTCAGTAGGACTCAGGAGCCAGGGATTCCGTTCAGTTTCGTGCCTGACTTTTCAAACATGAGGAGGGTCGGGCTTATGAGACGTTTGAGGAAAGCTCTACTCTGAAAGGCAGAACCAAGAGAAACAGAAAAGGAAATCAAAGCGATTAGTGATAGGGAGGTGAGACGAACTTCAAACAATTATACCAAAAAATAAAAACTGACAAAAAAGCTTGACACTCATATTATAAAGGGTAAACCTTCATGAAATACAGTTACTAGAAATCAGTAATAAAAAGACCAAAAGGTCAATAAAATGAAAAGTGGATTAAGTATATTACATCTATACAACAAAATAAGACGCAACTATGAAGAAGAATGAAGAAATCCTCTTTGTACTGAAGCATAAAGGCCTCCATCTGTTGGGTGCAAACAGTCAGAAGTAAAGCTATTGAGTAGCGTGTGTCACCTTTTTTCCCCTCCTTGTTCTTCATTTTCAGGAAAGGCAAACGTACCTTTTTGTACTTTTGTATTTTGGGAATTTGGTACTGTTTTATCAGGGCGAACAATTCAATTGGAGGGTAAGGTTCAGTAGAAATCACAGAAAGTAGAACTCGAAAAGGCAAAGCATCGATGAAGAGAGAAGGAACGTTAGAAAATCTTGTGACGGAGCTCAGTAGGTCCTACATCAGAATAACAGACTTTCTAGGAAGAGTGAACAGAGACATTGGTTGGTAGAATTTATTTGCAAAGAATTGCTTAATATCTTTCCCCAGATTAAAGCTCATAGGTTTTCAAATTTGAAAAGCCTACAGGAATGAAAACCTATATCATGGCATAGAATAATAAAAAATAAGTAATGGGAATAATAAATCATAAAACTTCCAAGGTGTCAGCAATCAGGGTGGCATGGGGATTCTCAATAGACACACTAAAATCAAGAAGAAATGGAAACAATGCACTCAAGGTTTTGAAGGGAAATAATTATTCACCTAGAATTTCCTACCCAGCCAGACAACAACTCACAATCCAATATAAAGGTCAATTGAAAATATTTGCAAACATGAAGAGTCTCGACATTTTTAGCATCTATTCACCTCCTAGGAGGCCTGGTGGCATAGTGGTTGCACATTGGGCTGCGATCAACAATGTCAGCAGTTCAAAACCGCCAGCAGCTCCAAGGGAAAAAGATGGTGCTTCCTACTGCCGTTAACAGTTATAGTGTCAGCAGCTCACAGTTCTACCCTGTCCCATAGGGTTGCTATGAGCTGGCATTGACTCCATGGCCATGAGATTGGATTGGCATTCACCTTTCTAAGAATAGGAAGAGGAGCTCTGGTGGTATCATGGTTACGAGTTGGGCTGCGATCCTCCAGGTCAGCCGTTCAAAACCATTAGCCGCTCTTTGGGAGAAAGATGGGACATTATACTCTAGAGTTAGAGTCTTGGAAACTCACAGAGGCAGTTCCACCCTGTCCTATAGGATTGCTGTGAGTCAGCATCAAGTCTAGGCAGTGATTTATGTCGTGAGTGAGGACATGAAGGTGTGTTTGCCAAAACAATGAGCAGGAAAATGAAAAAGGTAGCCAAAAGAAGTTCCAGCACTATTTGGATGGGAAACTCCAGGATGGTAGCGATGTGGCAGCCCTTGAAAGCAACAGTCTCGATGTGGCAGAAGAGATGGTGTCTCCATGACCACCGTGGACAGAGGGGAGGTGCTGGATACATCTGGATGCACTGAAAGATGTCTTTTTGATGCAGCAGAGTATTTATTTAGAAGTGATTTACGAATAGGTCAAAATTATTATTCCCAAGGAAAGCAAAGCCATATGAAAAAGAAAATGTAATATGCGTGTAATATACCACATGAATCAGCTGAGATTATTATCACCACAGACATAATAATAAACAATGAGTAATAGCTTAAACCCAAGGAGTGATATAGCTATATTTGTAGAATGTTCTGGGGGGGGGGTGTTCATGGTTTGGGGGAGTTAAAATAGAACTAGACCAATTTGGGTCATTGGTACCAAAACTTAAGCTAACCCATTGCCACGGATTTGATTCCCCCTCAGGGACTCTGAGGGGGTAAGTCTTTATGGGAGCAGATCGCTTCCCTTTTCCCTGTAGTGACTGGTGGATTTGAACAGTTGACTCTGTGGTTAACATCCAACACTTACTTGACAGTGCCACCTGGGTTCCTTTGGATCACTGGTAAGTATATTTTGGAGTTTGGAACCAGACAACTTGAAATTAAATCATGGCTCTACAGTTAATATATAATACTACTGTGTAAACTTGGACAAGATAAAAACCTCTTTGTGCCTTAATTTCCAATCTGCAAAGCTCGAGTAATAGCAGTATCTACAACATAGGATCATTGTGAATATTAAAACATTTAATATGTATGAGCACCTGGAACATTCTCTGGTACATTGCATGTGCCTTGCAAGTGTTAGCTAATGTTATTTTCATCTTCTATAGTAGGATGCTAATAGGTAACAGAGAAAATAATGAAAACTAAAATTATATGAGCAGTGCTGTTTACAAACGCAGAATACTAGGACAAACATCTGACGGCAAAGCAAGTGGCTCTTAAAGGATAGTTAGTGAGTGGGGGGAAGAGGGTAGTTTGAAGCAGGGGACAGCCAATTTTTTTTTGGTTGTAACACTACCAGAAAATTTGCCTACATTTGATAAAAAATAAAATATTTAAAAAGAATGGCTAGGTCTAATGATAACACTGTTTAGTGTTTGATGGGGTATCTGGCTCTCACCAGGTATTTAACATCGGGTGTGGCCTGTAACAAATGCAGTTTAAAACACTTAAAAAAATTATCTTTCTGCAGGATCCAGTCAGGCATGTTTAGGGTG